CCCTTTGGTTTCACTTCTAGCTCAATGAACTTGGAAGAAGCTATGAATGAACAAGCTTCAACATCAATACCAATGGAATTGGCTCTCTTACTCTCGACAAGCAAATACTCCAATGCAGAGATAGACACATTCCCCCGTAGCTCCCTGAATTGAGAAGGTTTAAATTGATGTTGCATAACAGTTAGACTTTTCTCGAATGAAGCCTTGATATCAGTGTGTTGCAACTCAAGCAGACTGTGTATTTTCTCAAATGATGCCTGAAATGAGACTTGACATGAACCCAATTGTTTTTTAAGTTTTGCATGTGCACTCTCAGCCCTGTTTAATTCAATGTAAGTCAAGTTAAAATCAAGTACATGGCAGTTATTAATAACATATTGAACAAAAGTAATCTTATCGGTTGGTTATAACAATGCCACAATGCAAACACGTGTTTGTCCATGCCGCCACAAATTTGTCCTTGTAAGGAACCAACCAAGTATCCATGACATATTTGACTGCATCAGGATAACTACTGAATTCCTTAAGTAATGATTTAAGACGCTCCTCGTATTGAATTTCAGAAGATGAATACACTACAGAGTTCCACTCATGGTTGAACTTCTCCCATTTTTGCTGTGTCTCAAACATTTTCTTGCATTTGGTCAACACATTCTTACTGATATGCCAACGACATAATAAATGTCTGGCACTCGGGAATATCTTCTGTATGGCATTCATCAAGGCTAGCTCTCTGTTAGTAACAATAACTGTTGGCACAACAAACCCATCCATGACATCACGTAATGTGGCTAACACCCACGCATAGTTATCGACCCTCTCATACTGTAAGTATGCAAAAGCTACAGAGAATGTCATTTCAGTTGATGTCACTCCCACAATTTCAAGAAGAGGAAGCCGATATCTGTTGGTTTTATATGTGCAATCCATAATTAATATACGTGGGAAAGTCCGAAATAAGTCCAAACTGGTAGGATGTGCCCAAAACAAGTCTGTCACAGTCATCATGGACTCTTCACGTCGATGGCGCTCAATGTAATTATACTTGGCCAATTCACCCAATAAGTGTTGCATCTGTGATCTTCCAGCTCTCTGTACCACCCTGTTTCGATGGCGTACATTGTAAATGGTTTTAAGTGTGCTTACATTGAGAGTATCTCGCTGTTTCAAGGTTACTAGGATTTCTTTTGGCCGAACCATGCTCTTTGACGTATCCATTAACAATGCTTTCTCATCCTTTGATAGCCTCCCCGCATATGAATGTCCCTCGAGGTGCTCCGCAGGTGGATGATTATGCAATCCGCATACTACAGTCAATGTCCATTCATCATATGTGGTAAACCTGTGAGCCCTCATATCAAAAGGATAACCATACTTCTTCGTACCGGTTATTCTTGATGTATTGTTGCCATCATGTTTTAACTTCTTTGTTGCTCTATATTGGCCACTCCTCTCACAAGCAAGATACATCCTAGGTCTTTTTTTCCCTCCACCATAGTATGATGTTTTGATTAGAATGACCAAACCATTTCTCTTTCCAACTTCACGTACCCAGTTGAGCAATTCATCCTTACTTTTGAATACCTACAAAGTTAAATAAATATTATCAAACATTTACATTTGGTGAGCAATTCAAAACATAATCGTTATAATTTCGTAGACTGAACCTGTTCAGTTGTGAAATGAGTGGTGTAATCTAACACAAAATTCGCGCAAACCTGACTTCCTTGAGTTGACACATATTCCTGCATGTTTTGTATAACATTACAAATTTTTAATGGCATTATAAAGATTAATTTGCAATTTGAAACTGTAAATTTGGTATGCAGTTTGCAAATTTGGAATATAAAATGGAAAAAGAAAAATTTACTTCATTCGGAAGTAGTTGTCCGAATTTTTTTTCAAATTTCGGAAGTTGGATGTTGTATAAGTTAACATTTTTCGGACAACAACTTCCGAATTTATATATCTTTTTCGGACAACAACTTTCGAAATTTATCACTTTATTCGGACATCAACTTCCGAAAATACATAATTATTTCGATAGTACATTTCCGAACAAAATAACAAAATTCGGCTCTAGTTATCCGAACGACGCTGCGAAAAAAAAAAAAATTAAACTCACATTTCCTTCGCTCTGCTTCACATGAATACTTATTTGTTGATTTTCAGAAGACAAATCCTCCATCACAAATAAGTAATGAAGAATGAGGAAGGAAGAATGAGGAAGACAGCTTGTGGAAGGAGTGTGGAGCTTGTGCAAAGACTGTACACTAATGAAGAATGGAGTAACTTTGGAGCTCTGGTATGGAGTAACGTGTGTGTGTGGATCATTTAGCAAAATGAGAAAGCAGAGGCATTGCAACGTCTGTGTGTGTATTGAGAGGATGTGTGTTTATTTGAATTGTGTGAGATGTCTATAATGGTAATTTTATTTATGGATAAAATTGTAATAAAAATAAAATTCATTAAGTGTGTGCAAAGAGTGGAATTGGTGTGTGCAAATAGAGGCTCCCAAATAATAAATAAATTAATATCATAATATATATTTTGTCTAAATGGTAAGAGTGTTCTTAATGAAACTTAAGGTCCTAGGTTCAAATCTTACTCACACCTTTGAAAAATATTTTTTTATTTTAGGATAGAAAAGTTTGCCACGTGGCAGAAAGAGAAATCACTACACTATTAGACACCAAATCATGTGCTCACATATATAATACTAGTGGGTGGCACACACACGATGTGTGTGCAATTTAAATAAGTAGGAATAAAAAATAATAATAATGAAATTAATATTATAATGTGTACTTAGCTTAAGTGGTATGAGTCCTCGTATTTAAACCTATGGTCATGGGTTCAAGTCTTGCTCATCTCTTTGTTTAATTTTTTTTTAAAAAATAAAAAATACTGCCACATGGCATAAGAAAAATAAAGCTTCAGGACACCAAAGTTCCTGTTCACTTTATAATAGTATAGATAGATAGATAATAGTATACATATAGACGTTCGCAGATATAGAGAACAGAGAGAGAGAGAGAGATGGTGGGACCGCAGAGGCCTCAATTCGTTGTATTCGGATCGTCGATAGTTCAGCTCTGTTTCTCCAATGGCGGTTGGGGTGCCATTCTCGCTGACATTTATGCTCGTAAGGTAACCTCCTCTCTCTCTCTCTCTCTCTGTCTCTGTTATGTTCGTTTTTGAAGATAACGATGGTTGAAATGTTTGAATCAATTTTGTTTTCGTTTCGGTTTTTCATGTAATCGAAGATCGGTTTGATCCTAATTTTGTCAATTCAGCTAAATTGATGAAATCTTAGATTAATCGCAAATGTACTTTCCCTAATCGACTCCGGACTGTTCAATGCTGTTGTTAGGCTAAATCCATGTTCTTTGTGATTGCAACACTCTTTTAATCCTCGCATTCATCTATTTTATAACTTCCATGCATACATCATCATAAACATATGGGAAATTCTAATATACACCCCTTCATATGCACCATAGTTATGTTATTTTCTTCTTTAGGTAGGAACAATTTTCTTCTTTAAAACACATGAGTTGTTTAGTTGTGTCATGTGTTTACTTTGTTGTTGTGTTCCTAAGTTGAGATTATTGAAGAATCTAAGCCTCTCATCATATTCTAGAGAATTTGAAGTTGTTCTTCAAGGATCTTTGAAGATCTTCGAATTTTCCAACTCCTTTCTTGAACCCTCTCCTACAGATAGGAACAATTTTCTTCGTTAAAACACATGAGTTGTTTAGTTGTGTCATGTGTTTAGTTATGATATTTTTTCTTTTTTTTAGTTATGACTTAGAAAATTGAAGTTATGCTGTTTTTCTTTTTAGTTATAAGATGCATAAACATATATGATGGCTGAGATTTAATTCTACCAAAGTTGAGGGTACAATAATAATTCACTTTCTAACTCTCAAAGTCCAACCTTATCATTCTACAATCACTCTAAAAAGACATTATACAAATGAGCCCAATTGCGACTTGATTAAAAATTTGGAGAGTTGACTGAAATAATTAAAAGGTCAGGGGCAAAATGGGACTGGATGTAATGTTGTAGGAAAAATAAATTGTGTATGAAAAAGAACTCAAATTTGTTAAAGAAGAAAAACATAACACTCAAAGGCAAAGGCATATCCAGGATGCTTTCTTTAAGATAGTAATTTCCCCTTTATTATACAAAAAGGTCTCTTGGAAATTATATCTCCAGGATAGAATGCCTTATTTCAGAAAACAATACTAAGGTTGTATTCACCTTAACCTAGGCAATCAAAACCAGAAACAGAGAAGGAAAAAACCAGAATCTATGGGCTATTGAGGAGAGTTCTTTTTATGGAACTCGAACAGGCACCAACAAAGAAGGAACATATCCTTTCTTATAGACATTATCTAAAATTCAAATGTTTAAACTTGTCCAACATCCATAAACCGAATTTCAGTTAGGATTTAAATTTGAAATCTTTAACTGTTTTATTCAAACAGTATAAAAATGTTTGTTATTTCTTTCTTTCTTTCTGTATTATATATATATATATATATCTCAAACTGAATTTCAGTTAGGATTCAAATTTGAAATCTTTAACTGTTTTATTCAAACAGTATAAAAATGTTTGTTATTTCTTTCTTTCTTTCTGTATTATATATATATATATATATCTCAAAAGAACTAGAAGCTTCATCTCATAGATATCTTCAAAAGAAGACCCCTAATGGAAACTTGAAGGAATATGGAAAGTCCTTCCTCTATTTATAGTAGAGGAGAGCATACTCATTTGCTCAACATTTTTATGTGGGAAGCAAGCTAAAAATTTGAATTCTAAGTGTATGGAGGGAAAATGAAATATTGAATTCCCTCCAAGTGAAAGTGTAGAGATTCCATTAGATTCCAATGTGGGATCCAAGAAATAAAATAAAATAAAGACATGGAGACTATTATTGTTATTAGTAAATAATATATAACATGTAAAGTTTTAGGCATTTCTGGCATTTCCTATGTTCAATCTCTTGAATAATCACCTATAGTTGTCAATGCTTTATTGTCATTGGTTTTGGGTTGAACTTAACAGAAAATTAAGAAACTTTGAATTTGAGCTGTTGATGCGCCAAAATCATCAAACGGGATCAAATTCTCATGAAACTCGGCACACATGACTACCTAGGCACAAGAGAGTTTTGGGAAAGACAAGACTCAAATGGGGTTCCTGGTTTGGAAGTTAGAGCTGAATTTTGGTTTAGGCACACTTAGTCATGAGAAATTTGAATTCGTTTTAATTGCAATTCTCAAAGACATATTTTCAATTTTGCGAAGTTATTGCAAGTTCAATTAAAGGTGAAAGGTGGCTTTTCTTTGGTTTCCACACCCAAAGCATACAATAAATTTTTTTGTTTCAAGTGTCTACCAAACACTAGTAAATGAAGAAGTATTTTTGTGTGTGTGTGTGCGCGCGCGCGCAAAATCAACTTATATGAAAAAAATTTTCAGATGTAAAATATTTTATGTCAAAACAAATGGAGCCTTTATGTAAATAATTATTGCCTACTATGGGTATGTCTATTTGGTCCGGGCTATATAGCACTAAAAAAAGTTAATTTGATATTTTATCAGAATGCTTATACCTATAAAATTTTCTATCAAGTCTTTGTTTCTTCCAAGTCTCTTTAGATTGGCATTTAAATTCTTAAATGGTTGATTGCTTGCATGCTGATAGAAAATTATAAAGAACTTATGAACTGTGTTACTAATATGTGGGGGATTGTAAAGTATCTTCAATTTAAGTATCCTTCTAAATTTGGACTTCCTAAACATGGGGTCATAACACGACTTTCTTATTTCTTAAATCTGTTTTAAAAATCAAATAGATTGCAAACATCGACTTAATAATTAATATAGAAAATTTCTTATATTATAGGTGTCCAATTCAAGTAAATTTAATGATCCTATTTGTCACATGTGAAATGCTCCGTATGATGCACCCATGAAACATAAATGCATTATATGCCATCATGTATATTGGATTATGATGCTATATCTAATTTTCATTCTTATGTGATATTATCTTTTCTTATGATATAGGCAGACATATTGTTGCGAGGATACTATGGTTGGAACTCAAGACGTGCTATTCAGGTTCTTGATAAAATTTTTCCAAAGGTATCACTTTTTTTTTTCTGTGTCAATAAAATCTGCTTTGGAAACATTTTTGCAACCTTACTTTCAAAGAGCCACATATGGGGTGCACGACATTGGTGTTGGTTACTTTTTTTTCTGCTGCTGGAAAATATCACAGGCTCACAAATAATAGTCCCTGAAATGGGTTTACCATGTTGGAATTTAGCCTTAATTAGTTCCTATACATTATGACAGAATAAATTTAATGGCCTTACTATTATTATTGTAGAAGTTTCTTCAGACCACTTACTTTTCCCTGTGAATTTTACACATACAGCAAAAACTGCATTTGATTTGGTAAATGCTTTGAGAGTTAATGTTTGCTATAGCAAACTTGGTAACTTGATTGTGCTCCCAACTTGTACTCAATATATTTTGTATTAAATTGTGAGAATGACTTGCCTCACCTGATATGAGAATTGTGTCATATAGTGTTACGGCTAGCTTACCTTAATTAGGGTTAATATAATTTCCCCATAAACAGCTAGCTCTGATATGGCAAATGTGTTTTGTTGATTGTAGGATGCAGCTACTCAGCCTTCTCTGGTGATCGTTTACTTTGGCGGGAATGATTCAATGGGGCCTCACTCATCTGGTTTAGGTCCTCACGTTCCACTTCCTGAATATATTGAAAACATGAGAAAAATCGCACTTCATCTCAAGGTACCTATTTGCTTATACAATGTTTTCTCGTATTTTAGGTGATACTATTGTCCTGTGGGTAGAACCAAAGGAGAATTTGCCATGACTAAGTTGGGGTTTGGGAATTACATTTTTAGCAGCTTTTTTGTTGGCTTTTTTTTAAATTTCAAAAATCCTTACACTTTTAGCTTTAATTGACTAGACGGGCTTGAAAAACAAAAACCACTAAAAAAAAACTAAAATTTTTAATTTTTTTTTTGTCTTTAGTGAACTTTTGTTTGGATTTGTCAAACTTTTTTGAACTTTTTAGATCCTTCTAAATTGGACAGACTTGAAAAGTAAACTTTGTTACATAAATATAAAAATATTTCATTAAGACAAGAACGTTTAGAAAAAAATGATTTTTTTAGTTGATCCCAAACAGAGCCTGAATGGACGGGGTGCACCACCCTTAAAACTATTTTGGCAGGTCCTTTTTCTGATTGAGGATAATTGTCGATGTACAATCTAACCCTATATCTTAATGACAGAGCCTTTCAGACACAACGCGTGTAATTTTCCTTAGTTGTCCACCTGTCAACGAGGCCAAAGTTCAAGAAAACACAAGGTGCTTAAATGCATATCTATCTTGTTTCTTGGTTCTCATTTAAGGATTATCTTCTAATTTAGTTTTACCTTCGGAAACAGTAAAATTTTTAGTGAGCTAGTGCGAACAAATGAATTATGCCGAAGTTATTCAGAAGCTTGTGTAGAGTTGTGCCGGGAGATGGGTGTGAAGGTTGTTGATCTTTGGACTGCAATCCAGCGACGAGATGATTGGTCGACTGCTTGCTTTACGTAAGTGAAGCGCATTTTCTTTTTCTTATACTGTTAAGATCATCAAATTGACCATGCCTATTGCGAGGAATGAGGCAATATAAACTGGTTATTGAGGTTTATAAGCACTCAATCTATGCATCACAGATGGCAAGGGCAAACACAGAGTGGTGCTCAGTCAAAAAAGTCTAAAAGCTAAAAGAAAATGTACTGCAACTATTCATAGTTCTTATCACACTAGAGATCTAAGGGAAAGTGAAATTATTTGAATGGCTCAAATTGAAAATTTAGAAGATCAGGATTAAGAACTACACCTGTATAGGCAATCTACATGTATGTAACATGGACAGCACACAAAGGCTGAGATCTAGCAATAAATTTACTAAGACCTGCCTCTGAGCTTCTTTCATCTGTAACAGATTAGATGGAAGTTTGATTTTTACCCATGCTATGTTCCATTTCATGGTCGATATTGAAAATTTTTCTGAAAAAATTGCTGATGCGGGACTTATACATATACTAGATAAATACATCCAAAATAATGCACCAACTGTGCTGAAAGAAGCAATGCCTTCAAAACCTTTGGTTATTCCTCAGGCCTCCTGCATAAACAATGTCTAGTTCCGTTGCCGATGGACTTCATGTGGTGATGGTATTTCTCATCACGCGACGATGGTATTTTCACTTACACACAAAAAATATATATATATATATATATGGTTTTAGGATTTTATGTTTTTCACATTTCAAAAATCCAAGTAGATGCATTTTTTCCCATTATTGTTTAGTGCTTTAGCTTTGGTTGTGGCTATTTTTATTACTTATTTGTGTATTTTAAAACCTCCGGTTTGAAGTTTCAGTTATGTGATTTTTACTTTTACCCAACTTCTCAAATGTGGTGTTGTCTACACAAGTCTAATAGGCTCATAGAGATCACTATGAGGCTATTAGACTGCATATTTGCTTACTGTTCTCTAACAAATTTGCAGTCTAATAGGTTCTCCGTTCTATCAACGACAACCATGAAACTGCCATAATGCAATTCGTAAACTATTGACTTGTTAAAGCTGCCAAATGAATGAAGTTTAAAATAAGATACATCTTTGTTTTTGGTTATCCATTTAACTTTCTATCCAGGGACGGGGTTCATTTATCTGCAGAGGGGAGCAAGGTAGTGGTTGCCGAGATACTCAAGGTGCTCAAGGAATCAGAATGGGAGCCATGTCTACACTGGAAGTCCATGCCCACTGAATTTGGCGAGGATTCGCCGTACTACCTAGCTGCTAATGATGGAAAAACGACTTTAAATCCATCAGACTGGACCTTTTACAGGGAAATACAATGGGACTAGGCTGCAGAGAAATTTCTTGTTTGCATGCCCCATTCCTTGTGCAGACACCCGTTCAACAGAAGTTTGAATTGTTCAATGCACAGTATGTGCGCAAAGCAAGTTATGCATCAGTGAAGTGTGACTTTGGTATCTCGTGAGTTAATACTCATGTTATGTTATGACAATAAACCAAGTTAATCACCCCGGTTTAGGTGCAAAAATTATATTGTAGTTGAGTCATCTGGTTGAATTATCTGTTTTCTTGCATTCATGTTCTCCTCTGAGTCTTATTATGAAGGGGGCAGTCTGACTAGTTTGAAAGTGTGTACTACTTCCCTTGAGCATATATATATATGTGATTTCGTATTGTTTCCAATATATGCTTGGAGTATGCAAAAGTACAAAATGAGGTGTTGTAGGCAACAATCATGAATTATTTGTAGTTTTGCTAGTACTTTTGTTACTTTTACCGGGATTTAAAAAATGCCAGGAAAACTCTTTTTTCTTGTAGTGGTAGACAGAGTCATCCTTGATACTATAATGGCTTTACAACTCAGTCAATATTTTCTTGTTATTACTTGACAAGAATTTTATCATAGTTGAATTGTGAGTTTTAGGATGGGTGAACCTACTTAAGCATAACAAAAATGCAAAGTACCATCTTAATAATCTCATCTTCGATGCAGTAACTGTTAGATCAGCTGCTATGAGTGGAGCGAATTAGTTCTAAAGTAGGGCTAAAATAAGAGTTGAATTCTTGAAATTAAAATTTCGTCAATGACTGCTGGACAATGAATTTTCGCTGCACTTTTAGTCTCTCACTCTCTTGTTAGAAGTTAAAGGCAAGAAGTGTAGGTGATTCAAAGTGAAATATGAACATTATTGATATTAACTTTTTCATTAAGGTTAAAATTTATTTATTTATTTATTGTTTGGAAACCCCATCAATGGGTGTACATCTCATGGAACAAATTTATGAGGGTTTTGAATAATAATATATTGATAGTTCTTTGTATTGTTTTATGATCAATGCTAGTTTTTTATTTTTATTTTTATTTTTTATATCACCAGGTACATTATTCTCCTTTACTATTTTCTTAATTGATTGTTTTTATGATGAAAAAGATTGTTGGCTTATAGTTTGTCTGCTGTGTTTCTACTGTAAACTTTTTATTTTCGTGTTTTTAGAAAGAACAAAAAATTTGAAAATTTTGGAAAAGCTTTTTGATTTTTATGTGAAAATAATTTTGAAAGTTCTGAACGATTATTAACGTTTCTTAAAACACATCTGGTTATTTTATGAATAATTCTACTCATACTAATAATCTTATTAAATATCTTATTAAAAATCTTACTAAAATATAAGAGAAATGTGATTGATTGTCAAAAAAACAATAACATTTAACCATCCAATAATGTTTGGACATGTATGAGGGGAATGGAGTAGACTGGCAGTGGTTATGGAAAATAAAAGTTCCCCAAAAACTCAAAAGCTTTTTTGGCTAGTCATGCATGAAAGGCTACTAACCATATGAGATGAGACTAATTAGGAATCTATCTGAGTCTGATATATGCCCCAGATGCCAAATCACCAGAGAACATATGCATCATCTTCTTAAAAGCTGTCCCAAAGCCAAGGTAATATGGCTGAATCTCAAGAGCTTTGGCTGGTGGCAAAGCAGCAACACTGTACCTTTGCAGGTGTGGATCAAAACAAACATGGAAAGCAAGGATCAAGTCAACAACACTCAATGGAAACTCAGGACGCCTTTCAAACTATCCTGAATCCAAACTTTACAGATCCAAAGCTATGTGGTCTTGTTCTATCGTAGGTAAACTTAGATTCACATTGATGGAAGCTCAAAAGGAGATCCATGGCAATCAGGTTATGGAGAATTGCTCAGAGATGAAGTGGGCACATGAGTGTGGGGCTACCATGGATACTTAGGTATGGTTTGGGAAGAGGGTTTGGAGGCTTTTTTGGCTAAAATAGCCACAAAAAACAAAATAGACTTTTTAGCCCAATAAAACAAAATATCACGTCCAACTCATAATCATTACATTATTTTTCTTACAAAAAAGCCAAAAGCCCTTCCTAAACCAAGCTTTTTAGCCCCAGGCTAAAATAGCCTAAAAAGTTAAAAAGCCAAAAAGCCAACCCACTTCCCAAACCATGCCTGGCAACTGCACAAGCCTAGAAGCAGAGTTTTGAGACATCTACAGAGGTTTGACCATCATCATGCAAGAAGGAATTTCCAACATTGAGATTGAGATAGATTCTCAGACAGCCATGGAACTTATTCAAGATGTATCTGAAAGGAACTCACCCTACAGAGCACTTATAGAGGATGCAAACTTCCTCCTAAGAAGATGTCAATGTTCAATCCAAGATTCCAAGTTATACCCATGGACGCAAACCAGAGTGCAGATGCTATGGCTAACATAGGAGTCAACCTGCAGGAGCATCTAGTTTCTTTTGGAAGATCCACCTAGCTCCATATTTTCCTTGTTAATTGCTGACATGGTTAATGTCAGCTCTAGAAGGGATTAAGCTATCCCGTGCCTATTCTGTAAACTTTTAACTATCTTCACATGAATCCAAAAAAAAATGTTTGGACATATATATATTTTTAGTAAGATTATTAGTAAAGGTCTAAGTAGATTTTGATATACATTTCAACTACACATTGAGGGTCAATTTTACCACTTTTTGTCCGTTAACACTTTCTAATGACGTCGATTTTGTTACTTTTTCTTATTTATTATTATTATAATTTTAAGAGGTTTTATTTGGTGGTCTGAGATTCATTTCATCTTGTGACATTTGCTCTATTATTTCCATAAAATAACATAAAAGTGATGAGTTTCAGAATTTAAACAAATAAAAACCAAACAGTACAATAATGGCTTGTGCATTCAAATTTCATAGCTGCAAATATAATTAGTTGTGAACCATAAGCTTAGTTATTTCATGAATGGTAGTGATCCAATGCTTTGTTTTTTGATGTGGCAAATTTTTTATGGAATTAACAATGCTTACATTCGCATCCCATGTGTCTATAACATTTATAAATTATTTAAATTTTAAATAATTAGTTTTAAAAATATGTTTAAATTCGGTGTGTTTATCTTTTGATTTGATATTAAATGAGTTTTAAGTTGAGATTGAGTAATTTAAATTTTTTGTTCAATTCTATGATACATATATTTATTCATTGAGCTGAACTTGTCAATTTATAAAGTTTCAAATTATTTTTAAATTTAATTTGTTTACTTAATAAATGTACGGGAAAGAAATACACCTTCTCGTATAATCCTATTGATCAAGTCTGTGCTCCTCCATATGACGTCGCCTTATCACCTAAAAACACAAACGTGAGCTAGCCGGCGGGTGTGTGCCGGAAACCTCTCCGATGCCTAAGTCAGCAAACTTGACAAATAGACAAAGCTTTGTGTATTCAGAAAGCAAAGTTGTGTGTTACCTCTCCCAAGGTGATATTTATGAGCTTTTATAGGTTTCGTGTAGCACAATCCTAGTAAGACTTCTACTCCTCCATGCAGAGTCCTTCTAGGATTCATACTCCTGAAGGATAATGCTTATCTCTCAACACCCCCCTCACTGCTTAAACCAAGTGAGATGGTTTTTCCATGGCCGAACTACCATACGACCGAAGTAAACACGACTCGGCTTAGCCGCAGAATGAGCCAAACTATTCTCAGTTCGGCTTCTCGTGCACAGCACATGGCACAGTTTAGACCGAACTAACGATTCGTGACCGGTATAACTCCAAGATCGGTCTAACTTCAAGTTGCTTCCGGACCGAAGTAACTTTACATGTATCTTGGGCCAGAGTAATTCTGTACCTCTCTTGGGCCGGAGTAACTTTTACGGCCTTTTTTACTCAGCCCTTTGTATTGTGGGCCACTATGATCATCTTATAGCTCGGCCCAATTTTCTCCAAAATTACCCTCTCAATAAACTAGTCTCAAATAAATTTTTAATAAATCAAATATAGTCAAATTTAAATAATTTGGTTCAATATGTGTATTGTTCCCGTTGAATCATAGGATAGTATATTATTCGAAAGGGTACAAATCTATATCTATATAATAAAATAGATTAATATTTTAAAAATGTCTCATGTTGCATGTTTAAGAGTTAAGATTAAATAGCACTGTCCGATAAAATTAAAGCCGACCGGGACCGACCGAGCTATAGACAAAGAACTCAAAAAAAGAAAAAGGAAAAAAAAGTTAAGATTAAACAAATGTAGAAGGTGGATTTTCTTCGGTCCATAATTTGGACTAGTGGGTGTGTGGGGTGATTTCCGCATTTTGAAGAAGGGTTGAACTTCGTGGATAAACAGCGTGCTTTGAGAATTGAAGATCTGCACAGAATAACAAATAGTGAGGCTGCCCGACCGGAGTTTGGTCAGAAACCCCTCCGATGGTAAAGTCAGGGACTCAGGGAGAGGAAGAAGAGAGAAGAGAGAATACTAAAAGTGTATATGTGTTGAGTGTGTGGATTTTCGGATCCCTCGAGAGTGAATAATGTTCACCTTTTATAGGAAAAGGTTATTTGTTGTTCAAGTCCTTCTCTCTCCGCCATCTATCTAATGTGTCTTATTCGTGGTCGTCTCTCATTAGAGGAGGACAACCACTCCGCCTGACACTCGGGTGCAGGTCTGCATTGTTTGTCTCATTAGTGGACATCTCTCATTGGAGGAGGACGACCACTCCGCCTGTCATTCAGATACAGGTCTGTCATATATGCACCTTGTCCCTCTGCACCTCCATGTCTCCACGTTCTGTTCATACAGAGGGAGAGGAGCAGAGTTGTTTGTCTTTTGTGGGCCCAAGAAAGATCTTCAGTGAATTGGCCTTCTTTGAGTTGGCCTACTCTAGAATGGTTGTCCAACCAGGAGGTCCAACATGTTGCTTAGCCCACTTCGGAGTGGTTGTCTGTCCCTCCAGGAGGTTCACCATGTTACTCAACCTACTTTGGAGTGGTTGGCTGCCCGTCCAGGAGGTCCACCATGTTGCTCGGCCCACTTTGGAGTGACATTCGTACGTTAGGCCAAGCTGCTATGATTGTCTTGCTTCAGAGCAAGTGTTAGCCATAGGGCCAAGGTCCAACCTAGCTCAACCTCAGAGTGAGCATCGCATTGGGCCTAGCACCAAGACTTGATTAATTTTTACCCACTTCATGTTGCTCGGCCTACTTTGGAGTGACATTCGTACATTGGGCCGAGCTCCTATGATTGTCTTGCTTCGGAGCAAATGTTGGCCATGGGGCCAAGGTCCAACCTAGCTCAACCTCAGAGTGAGCATCGCATTGAGCCTAGCACCAAGACTTAATTAATTTTTACCCACTTCAT